CAGGGTGGCTGTAGGCACTGTGATCCCCCTAGGGTGCCCCATCCATGCTGGGTTGTGTCCCTGAGTTGTGCCTCCACAGATTGTCCTGGCCTTTGGGAACTACATGAACAGCAGCAAGCGTGGGGCAGCCTATGGCTTCCGACTGCAGAGCCTCGATGCGGTAGGGTCAGCACAGAAACACCCGGGGAGGGAGGGACATGCGAACCTGGTGTGGGGATGGAAGGATGCAAGGACCCAGCTATAGGTGTGGAAGGACACAGGATTCAGCTGTGGGGATGGAGGGATGCAGGGACCAGCTATAGGGTTTGGAGAGGCAAGAGGAGCAGCTTTATGGATGCAGGGACCAGCTGTGGGGATGGAGTAACATAGGAATCTGTGGGAATGCAGGGATGAAGAGACCATCTATACAGTTGGAGAGGCATGGGGAAAAGATAAAAGGATGGAGATACACAGGACCTAGCTGTGGGGTTTTAAGGATGCAGAGACCACATATGGAGAGATTGAGGGATGCAGAACCAGCCATGGGGATGAAGGACCCTCAGAGCCTGCCCTGAGCAGGGGTGAGGTGGGGTGGTGGATGCGGATTGGGGCTGACGCTGCTCTCCCAGCTCCTGGAGATGAAGTCGACTGACCGCAAGCAGACGCTGCTGCATTACCTGGTGCGGGTGATCACGGAGAAGTACCCTGGGCTGACTGGCTTCCACACTGAGCTGCACTTCCTCGACAAGGCAGGCACAGGTGGGTACCAGGCTGGGGTTGTAGCCTGAGCACTGGGAGTCCCTAAGCCTGCCCTGACCCCGGCACTGCTGCCCTCCCTGCAGTGTCCCTGGACAGCGTGCTGCAGGATGTGCGGGGCCTGCAGCAGGGCATGGAGCTCACCCGCAAGGAGTTCATGCGGCAGGATGACAGCCCCGTGCTCAAGGACTTCCTCAAGGTCAACTCGGAGGTGATGGAGAAACTGCAAGCTGACAGCAAAACCGCCAAGGTGGGTACTGCAGGCAATGCAGGGTTGTGGGGCAGGACTGGGCCCCTCATTTCTACATGGGGACATCCAGGGTGCTCCCACCTCTGCCCCAGTAGGAGAAGCAGGAGCTGGGGGGAATGTGAAAGGGGATGGCAAGGTGGGAGATGCTGGGGGGAAGAAGTGGGCAATGTGGCACCACTGCCCAGCCCCCCAAATCAAGGTGTCTCTGCCCACAGGAGGCATATGAGTCAGCTGTGGAGTATTTTGGGGAGAGCCCCAAGACCAGTCCCCCCACCACCTTCTTCCCCATGTTCATGCGATTCATCAAAGCCTACAAGGTAGGAGGGGATGGGGTTTGCCCCATTCCTGGGCTTGGGAGGGCTCTGACCCTAGTTGGTGGTGTTCACTGATGCCATTTGGGGGAGTTGGAGATGCTGGAGCTTGGCTGGGACTGGGAGTGGTGCAGATCCGAAGCAGGACTCCCCATCTCAGCACACCTTCCCTGTGTCTCTCCCAAGAAAGCAGAGCAGGACATTGAGATGTGGAAGAAACAAGAGGCTGCAGCCAAAGAGGCAGGATCTGGCTCCCCTCGCAGTGAGAACCAGCCTGAGGTGATGGTGCCCCAAGTGTCTTTGTGCTGGTGGGGTACCAGGCTCCAGCTCCATGCAGGCTGTGGAGTGGGGAGGGGCAAAGCAGGTCCTGGGGAGGGAGGGGAGGAGAGGGAGGGAAGGTGAAGGCACCCCATCCCCTTTGGGTTGCAGTGGAGGCCGTGCTGTTCACTCCACACTGTCCCCACTGCAGCTTTCCATCCAGAAAGCCAAGCGGCAGCAGATGGACATGATTGCCGAGCTGAAGAAGAAGCAGATGGTGAAGGAGCCACTTATCTATGAGGGAAAAGATGGGGCCATTGAGGATATTATTTCAGGTGAGAGATTATTTCAGGTAGTGGCTAGACATCTGCCCCCTGCAGCAGGGACGCCCTTGGTGATGGGGGACTGCAGGGGCCTGTTGCAGCCAGGAGCTGCAGGGACACAAAGCACCATTGTGGAAACAAACCTACCTGTAGCACCTTCTCATCGCATGTGGTGCAAGTGCTCCCTGCCCTGTCTCACAGCTTTTCCTCCTCTTCTGCTTTTTCCTCCTCTCTCCTCCTCCTCTCTCCTCCTCCTCGTTGTCTCTCTGGATGTCTCTGCTCAGCTCTGAAAACTGTTCCTTTCACAGCCCGGACGGGCAAGCGCTCGTCCCGGCTTTTCTGCGATGTGAGCTTCAATGAGGAGAGTCCTTTGTAGGTAATGTGGGGCAGCGGGGCTCGGCACAGGGGCGGGAGGGGGACTGCCAGGCTTGGGCACTTCCCCGGGCTTATCCCATTGTCATCTCCGGGTGTGTGACACATCAGCTGGGCTCTGCCCCACACCGTGAGCCAACCCCGGGGCACTGCGGCACCAGCCTCAGCCTCGTGATACAGTGCTGGGCACCGGAGAGCAAAGGGAAAGGGCTCCAGGGGCTGGTTGGTTGTAGCTGCTGCTCCTCCCGTCTTCGTGCTGCTGGTTTGGCTTCTCTTGAGCATCCTCACACCCAGACGAGTGCCTCCTGGGCAGTGATGGGTGATGTGTCCGGGGCGGGCAGGGGGAGCTCAGCCGGTCTCCGTGCTCCTCCCGGTGCAGATCTGAGAAACAACCCATACCGGCGCGCAGACAAAGGCCGCGGCAGCTCCAAGAAACGGGCTGCGGGGCAGAGCCTGCAGGCGACGCCGGAAATCCCACTGTGAGCGGCGCCGGCGCTGCAGCGGCCAGGACCAGGGTACGACCATGGGACACCGCAGGGCACCGGGACAGCTCCCGCTCCTGGCTGCTCCAGCTTCGCGTGCCAGCTCCCACCGCATGCCCCTGGGTCTGGCGCAAGGATCCCCCGGCGCTTTCTTAGTGGCACCTCTGAGCTCCTCTCCTCCAGGCAGGCAGGGCTGGGGACCCTCCTGGCTATGCGCATGGAGAGGGGAGCACAGAAAGGAGCTCAAATTGTCCTGGAAGGAAAAGAGGGGCTGCCCATCTCTACCCTAGAGCTGCTCCACACCTGTCTCAGGCTCAGCACTGCACTGGTGTGCTCTGCTCTTCAGCTTGCTGGTGCTTTTGGTTTCCTGCTGCAGGAGGGGACAAGGGTTGGGAGCCAGGGCGATCCCTGCACATTTCCATCTCCCCTGGCCTTGTAGAGCCCTTTGAGACCCAAGTTCTCCTCCACTGCAGAGCCAAGGAGCTCCAATCCAGTGAGGAGCCTGCTGCAAAGACCCCACCCTGGGCACACCCCGTGCCCCAGAGGCTGGCAGGGGTGCTATTTTACAGTGATTTTATATGTCTTCCTTTAAATTTCTCTGTGCTGTGGAGCAGAGGCTGGAATACCCACGTACAAGGTCTCACTGGGATCTGAAGGCTGTGGTGAGCAGCACTGGGCTGTTCCTCGCCACAGGGCAGGCTCTGTAGCTACAACAATCAGCAGCAGAGGCAAGGATTTACTGTCCTCAAGTCTCTGTGAGGTGGCTTCACCTCTGCTCATTGCCACCCACCCCTGCTGTCGGGGCTGGAGCATCTTGGAGACAATAGTGACCATGGTCCCTCGGGAAGCAGCCAGCAGCAGGAAGGGGGCAGCCTCCAGCCCTTCAGCAAACCACCACGACCCTAAACCGCTCCAAGGTCACTGCTGCAGTGGTGCAGGAGCTGCACGATCCTCCCATACTGCACTGGACTCAATTCCTCCCCTGCCCTGCTGCTGAGTAACTCCAAACCATGCACTTCACAATTAACCTTTAATGCATTTAGTTTGTTAAATGGCCTCGCTTGCCCCAGCTCTTAGACCAGGGTAAGGTCATGCTGCAGAGCTCAAGCAGTGGCTGTTTCCTGCTGTAAGATGCTAAGTGCCGGCTCGGTACCACCCGCAAGCTCGAAGGGGAGAGGAGGGAAGGGAAATGAATGTGTAACTTATAAATGACTTTAAGCCAGGAATGTAAAACATTAACAGCTCATTTGTATACATTATTTTTATATACTGAAGGCCCATTTAATCTAAAGCAGAACTGGTAATAAAATGACTCTGAGGATAAAGCACTTGTCTGTGAGAAGAGGTGAAGTTTTACATGGGGGGGATGCTAAGATGGAGGAGGAGATGGAGGGAGGGATGCAGAAGCAGCTGCTCGCTGCTTCACTAACAAGGCGCCTTCTCCTGCATAAGGAGCTGCTGCCAGAAGCAGTGACCATGCTCCTCTGAATAATTTTAAGTGGGAGATGGTTCTGACCTGCCTGTGACTGCAGATAGGGGTAGGAGAACTTCAAGGCTCTGCTCAGCCCTGCAGCTCCTTCCAGTACTGGCCACCTCTGGGCAGGTGGGGTTGAATGGGTTAAAACGTGTAATAAGAGTGCTGCAGGAAAACAGAAGGGAAAAGCCAGTATTTGTGGCTCTGCCAAGCAGCAGCCCCACTTCTTACCACTCAAGTGTCCCTAAGAAGGCTACTGTACCCCAGGCACCTGCACAGACACATATCCTCTCTGTTGGGCACCCTGGGCAGGAAGGTCACAGCTTCTGCCCTCCACAGCAGCAGAAAACAGCTTTAACCTGCCAAAGGGGAGATTGAGATGAGCTCTCAGGCACAAGTTCTTCCCTGTGAGCAGAGGCGCTGGCACAGGGTGCCCAGAGAAGCTGTGGCTGCCCCATCCCTGGCAGTGCTCCAGGCCAGGTTGGACACAGGGGCTTGGAGCAACCTGCGCTAGTGGAAGGTGTCCCTGCCTGTGGCAGGGGGTTGGAACTGGATGAAAGGTGCCTGCCAGCCCAAACCAATCTAGGATTCCACGATTCTATGAAATCCTGTGCTTAGATTCATCAAAGTTATTGCTGCCTCTTCCCGTCCAGAAATGACTTCTCCCTGCAACCTCCAAACCCAAAGGCAATACACAGCAGAGTTCAATGAAACCAGGCTTCCTTTCTTAACAAATGTGTTACTCAGGAACTCTCTGGGACAAGGTCTCAACCATAAGCAATGAGAATGAAGAACATTTTTGTCCAGCTTTATTTCTTTTTCCCTGTGAAAATGCAGGTCAAAAGAAGTTCATTTCAAGAAATCAGAGTTTTATAAAGTGTCATTCGTTCAACACAAGCTCATTATTCCATCGCCCTCACCAGTACTGCCCATCCCAAAGAGGTGATCAGCTCCATACTGCTTTCCAACAGTGATTTTTCCAGATCTTTGGAAGGAGCAACACAATGAAAGCCATCTGTTTCTGTGACTCCTACTGTTATTTGTCCTCTGTACCCTGACCTGGGGTTCTACCCCAAAGACAACTTGTTATTATACACATTTACAGCCAAGTTTTAATGTGGATAACCAAAGGCTTTCCTGATTGCCTCCTGTCAGCATTGCACAGCCAGCCTTCATCTGGAAAGCTGGACTTTTTATGCCTGTCACAGCAAAAATGATCAGCCAAATGAAGAGGGAACTGTCCTGGCAGCAGCAGAATGTTGAGGAGATCTCAAGCTGGCAGTAAAACTATGCAAACCCTGGAGATCCTCCCAAGAGAACCACATTCAGGACAGTAAGAAAGCACCAGTGGTTTGTGGTATTAGCCAGAGTCTTTCACACCTGGCAGTGCCTGCTGATGCCACAGCCTGTCTTGTACAATATGTGCGAGGTGGAAGTCTGCAGCCTCACTTTCCTGCCTGAGGTGGCAGCAACACAGGACTGGAGGTTTTGGACGAAACAAAAAGGATGGAGATACTGGCTAATACTGGTGTGAGGGTACAGAACACAGACATCTCCATCTACTTTGTGAAGGCACTGTGGGTTCACGAGAGTTCACTGCCCTTCCTCCATTCGTGTAGGTGGCCTGATATTAATGTTAATGCTACAGATGAAGTGTGAAGCTCGAAAGTCCTGGGAACAGAGGGCTGCTGCATCCTGCCCTACAGCTTGGCAGAACTTGAGTCTCACACCCATGTATGAAACAACTGTACATCGAAGCACCCTGCAGTGAAAGCCATGAGATGCAGACTTTGAGAAGGGAACAGACCCTGCTTTCGTGTTTCAGACTGACACATCACCAACAGACTCTTCTTAGAAACAACCAACAGGTTTTTCTCCTCCCTGCCTCACAGGAAGCCCAGGAAGGGTGCCAGGTGTGGGGAGTTTGATCACTGCACTGAGTATGGGCTTGGGAGCTCCTGGGAGCCCTGGAGGAGCATTTTGATCCTCCTGCTTAACATTCTTAGTAGCTTATGGCATCTGAGAAAAAGTAATCAAGCCAACCTACCCACTCCTCCCCTACTCCTTCCTGGAAGACATGTGCATACTCCGTTAATTGTTTACTAAAAAGACTCTTCATGTGGCATTGCAGATATAATCAGGTGCCTATTCTGGCCAATGTATTAAGTGCTAAGAACAAAAAGTGCTATAAAAACTAAACCCAGAGTGGTGACAGGTTCCATTTTTCCTCAAGAGTTCCACTTTTTTATTAGATCACAACTTTAGTTTTTGATGAGGGATGTCACTGCCAAGTTTATCAAAACCAGCCCATGCTCTGGGAGACCAAAGGGAAGGAGTATCAGTTCCTAAAGGAGCATTGCTTCTCAGAAAGGGAGGTCCAGGGTGTAACTTTCCCAGCTATTTCCTAAGTGAACTTCACTTGAGGAAACTGCCAACATTCCTGTCCCATTGTGCCCCCAGAACCAGCATGGATCTGGCAGAGCATACCCTGCTTTCTGTGAGCAGTTTCTCTGTTCAGCCTGGATGTAGATAGCTCCTGCTCAGAGGCCACTGAAGTTACAACACTCTGGAAGAGCAACAGCACCCTGTCAAGTGATTTCCACGTGTGTAAGGGCTTTGAGCAGTCCTGAATAAATATACCCTAGCTTACAACTCCCTCTGCCTTTGTTCCGGCTTAGAGGAGGCTTAGCAACACCAGCCCATCAGAATGGGACCCATGCTGCTTCAGTACACTCATAACAATCGACACAACAGTAAAAAAACAGTTGAAAACTTAAGGCATCCTGGGCCCAGCTGCCCACCCCGCTCCGTGAGCACGTCTTGCAATAATGGCAGTGATAGGAGGCCTCGTGTCAGTCCCTGAGTGCTGGTGAGGGCAGGCTGAGCTCGCACCACGCACACGTGGGGCACTGACCTCCCATCCTGGGGCTGAGTGGAGGGATGGGGTGATAGCTAGGAGTGAGGTTTTTATAAATGCTGTAGTCAAAGTCAGCCCTGGTCTGAGCCGGGGGACCTGCCATCCCTTTCCCCTTCCAGGGGGAGCTGCCTGCATGGGACAGTCCATGAGGAGACCCAAGTCAGTGGTGGAAAGAGGATGGAGGAATACAACCCCTCCACCCTTCCCACCAAGGAATATCATACCTTCCTCCTGCCCTACCTGCCAGAGTTGGAAGCAACACCAGAGAGAGAGCACCAGCTCCTAAGCCAGGGAGGAAGCCTGAAGATGAGAGCTGCAAGCAAAGCTCTTTCTGGGAAGATAGTTCTTTTCTGATTCAAGAAGGAAGTGTCTGCAGGAAAGGGTGGGAGGTGAAACCAAGAACCCAGCCAGTTACTGCTGTTGATTTTCCCCATGCAAAAGGCTTGAGGTAGAGATGATGCTACCCAAAGCCGACAGAAACACTGAGTTTTTCCTCCAGCTAGAGGGAAGATAGCCAGCTCCCCCTGGCACAACCAACTACACTGAAGACATCCAACCTCCTCCTTTGGGCAAGCCCAGCAGCTACTGGCTTCACCTCGGAGGCTGAGCAACAAGAGTTCTCATCCAATCCCCCTCTGCTCCTGAAAAGCACAATCACATTCCTCTGAAAAGTAGGAATTTCCACCCACCATTCTCAAGCTCAACCTAACACTCACACCCAAAACAAGTAATTCCCACTGTTCTGGGGAACACCTAAGTTCAGGACATGTCTTGGAACTGGATCAAAACAGACAACAGAAGTGAGGCCCGAGAGCAGTGAGCTGCTGAGCCGCTATTCTACTTCAGCACAAAACACCAGCAACTGCACTTGGTGCTCCATGGCAGGGGTGGTGGTTGGAAGCTTTTGCAATTCCTTCTTTCAACAAGGTAAAAACCTCCAAAACAGGAACAGCTTCATGGCCTGTTCTCCAGTTGACCATGCTTGACTCGCCATGTCCAGCTGACACTGCAGTCAGGGGCAAGGGTGCACTGCAGCTCAATACCAGAGTCGGGGACCTCCATGTTGTAGTGAACTGGCTGGCCTTCTTTAGTAACCAGACTGAAAGCAGGGATTGGTATCTGTGAAACAGAACAGACAGATTTGAGTGGCATTTCAAGTCTCTTTCAGAACATGATATCCTTCTATCAAACACAGCAATGAACTTCCCAATCAAAAAAAAAACACTCCTGGAGAAAGGCCTGTTCTTGGCAGGAGCATCCAAACCTTCTCTCCTAAGAAAGTATCTCAGAAACTGGACTAGGTAGCATTCATTCACCCAGCGCCAAATTGCCTCACATGAGTTTCTGACCAGCACTGGTGGTTCCTGAACTGCCTATGTTTGTGCACAGTGAATTCCTCTGCAGGCTCTGTGATGTCCAAGAGACAATGTATGCCAAAGACAACCAGCACCACTGAACCATTTTCTGGACTTCTGCAACCTCTTTGTTTAGAGATGCTCACCACATTTTGCACTCAGATGAGTCACAGTCTCACAAACACTCAGGAGTTCTTTCAGGGACTGCCAAAGAGGACAACAGTGCGGTTCACTGTAGTCTGCCAATATCTCCTCCAACCTAACAAGTTAGAAGCATCACAGCCAAACACAGCCCATCTCCCTTAGCTGATATTACTGCTCTTGATGAAAAAGTCATATAGTGATTCTTCTACAGGGAGAGGGGAAAGAATTTATTTTTATGGTCGAGGACTATAAGCTGCAGCATAGGTACCTTCTGAGATGGAGATCCCTGTGGTCCCTCTGACAATTAGCAACTGTTTATGATTCAGAAAACATCTTTGGGAATCACATTCCTAACAGCAACATTGAAATTATACTACTAAATGTGTCATTAGGGCCCTCGAATGGACTTCAGGGTCACTGTTTAAAGGCATTATGAAGCTGCACTGTGTCTCACCTGGCTGCTTATCCCAGTGGCAATGTCTCCCACCTTTGTCCTGTGGAAATCCCTGATGTGTAAATTTTCTCCACTTAGTAACTGGATCTGGATTTTCACTCCTGAAATGTGCAAGAGAAGTCATTAACTTCTGTAGGCATAATGACTTCTCAGTCCAACACAGAAAACTTGACTAGCAAGGCACATATATCAAAACTCAGTGTTGTCTTTAAGCATTTAATTTAGGTAGGTCTTCCGCTGAGCATGGAGGCTTGCTGAAGACAGCAATGACTCACAGGGCAGAGCTGGATTTAGCAAGAAAGCAGCTGAAGAGATGTATTGATTCACACAACATGCCCTCAAAAGTACTTTCTAGACATTTATGGTTATAAAACACATTCTTGCACATGGCAGATGCACAAGGCAGCGCATACAAAGCTGAGCCGGGAACTTCTCTGGCTTTTCCTAGACTATACAGACTCAAGTGTCTTCCACCCATTCATCACTGGGTCAGACTTGGCCTCCAAAGGATAAGAAGAGCTCCAAGACCCCAGATCCTCTAGACACTGAGGACGTTCTCCCTGATCAAAACGTAGCACTTGAGACTTACCATTGAAATAGCTGGGAGTGTCTGTGTGCCGACTGCGGCTCCGCAGGTTATTCCAGCTGAAGCTCTGTCCATCTGCCTGGCTGTTCCAGGAATGAATCCCAGAGCTCATAGTGTCCCTCAAGCTGTGAGAGGCCTTCATGGAGTTCTGCAGAAGTAAGCATAAGTTTGGCAAAAGCTCCTAAAGAAAATGAGTTTGTATGAGATAAACGTTAAAATCACCTCAGGAAGAAAAAAGTAGGAATCCACAGGGATCTAAGGCCAGGCCTTGAGTTAGTCAACATTTACCTGCCATGTGGAAAAGGACATGAAGAGCAATGAAACATTTTTCAGACATACTAAGATATAATCAATGGGCAAATCAATAAGCAGTGGAAGAGCTGTATGAGAAAAGAGGGGTTTAGCTCACTGAATGACAGAATAAAGTGTGAGACAGATTTCTAATGTCAGTAAGCGCCAAGTAACACACAGGAAGAACAGTGAAGTGTATATAAACAACTCTGGATCCTACAATGCTAGACAGCTTGGAAAAGTCTGCATTATCCTCAAGTCATCAGAAGTCAATCTGACATCATCAGCAGAGTGTGAGTATCAGAAAAAAGTCAAATTATATATTGGAGTTGGGTATTTGGGGGAAAATAAAACCAAACACAGAACCAAAGCAAGCCAGAGTCACATCCCAGCTGCACACACCATGCTGTGTCAAAGCTGAACTACTGGACGTGACTCTGCTCAATCCTCCTCAGAAAACATTAGAAGGCTGGGAAGAGGAACAGAAATAGGAAACAGAGATGGTCACAGGCAGAAATGACTCCTGTAGATGGCAGGCTACACAACTGTGGACTCTGTCTTTGAAAACAATGACTGAAGGGCTTAGGTCCTTCCCTGGTTACAGCAAGGCTTATTCAGTGTTTCGCTGGTTTTCGCTACCTTATGAACACCAGAGATAAAGCAAACAAAAGCAATTACACTTAGTAACTTTGACTATGTAAGTCACCAGTATGAATGGGTTAAAAAACTTTATGAAGAACAGATCCCTAGGCTGGAAATGAATATCCAGGACCAGGGTCTCTGTTCATCTGCCCTATTCTTCTGGTCTTTCCCCCTAGACATCCTTTGACCCTGGGCTGCACAGCTATCTGGTCCAAGTTCACCACTGCTTCTTCAGTTCCCTATTTCTGCATAGCGAGGGTCAAAGCTCCTGAGATTTTTCCATATCCACACACTTGAGACTTCCTGTCAGTATACAGCACAGGAGAACAACTGGAGAAAAGAGATCCATGCTGGACAGTAAACTAACGGAGCAACCACAATCCTAAACACCCAATTGTCTAAGGACAAAGGTTTCTTCCCAAGGCATTCTACAGCAAACTCGGTGTCAAAAAGCAGCAACGAACATGAGAAACTCCAGATGTGCACTGGTCACAGCTCCCCGTAAACCAGAGATGGTTACCCTGCCACACCCAGCCCCCTCAGCATCCATCTACACGCACCTTCTCACTGGCATCTGACACAAATGGGCTGTCAATGCTGAGACATGAAAGCATTTGTTCTTGCTCTTCCAGAGAGTAAGGCTGTGAAAGGCTGTCCAAAAACAGTTCTGCAAGCAAAAGGAAAGAGGAAGACATTACCATTGTTTCCTTTCCTGCCTCCCTCCTCTAATTACAATTAGTGCAATTAATACCCAAAGCTTCTTCAGCATTATTTAATGAATGTTGATATTGGTGTCCACAAAATACATGGCACACAATTCCTCTGCTAAGCAGAGGCTATGGTCACCACTGTGGAAACTGAGCCAGAAAGGAGAGATGAATTGTGCCAACGACTTGCAAAACGAAACAGAGGCAGCACTAGTGCCAAGAATTTCCTAGTTCTTGCCTATTATGTTACTTATGAATCTTCACTGTAGATTCATCCACATTATAGCCAAAGAAAGGTCAAACTTATGTATTCAACTCCTGTGGTAACTTGCACGGATAATATCCAGACTTTACAAGGCTGCTGAAGATCCAAAGCCATTTGAGACAAAGCCAACCCTCAGCAATCCCCTAGAATGCCATTCCTCAGGTCCATGACAAGTTACATTTCAAGACACTTTTTCTAGTCTTTGGAAATTAATTGAAAACTTCAAGCTAGGGAAAATATGGAATTAAAAAAATGTGAAGGTTGAGTCACACGGGGGCAATGGAACCAGACTGTTCCTTCCCTCGTTTCCAAACTGCAAGTTTTCCAGTTCTGGTTTGCTGCTGGTAATCAAATTCATTGGCTGGTGGCTCTAAGTTTTCCAATGCAACAGAACAGTTGCAGACTGATTTTAACTATAATACTTCATTTGATATCTCCCATCCAATAGGTTTATCCTTTTATCAAAAGAATAATGTTTGAAAACCTAAAATTTCAGATGAAGTTGGAATGCAGACCCCACTTAAAGCACAAGTCTGACACTGGTGGTTTTTTAAGGTTCTTGCACCTCTCACAGAAGTTCCCTTCACTGTTCAGAGAGTAGAAGGAAATTCTGATCACTAACTTTGTGGCATATTTAACTGGTTAAGAACTACTACTCTGGGTAATTCAAAGGAAGGCTGAACAACCTGTGTAATGAGAGAGAACTGACCAAAAATGACACTCAAGCTCAAACCCTAGAAATAACTGTGAAGAGGCCAATAGAAAGCAGCTGTATTTTGATCATGCTCAAAAAGCTGAATTCTCTCCATAGCCTGCTGCTTACCTATTTCTAGCTGCTGAAGCTCTTGCTCTGAAATGGCTGTTGCTCTCTCCACATGGCTGCAGCTCTTCAGGGGGAGAGGAGTTGAGGCAAGAGGTGGAGGATCCCAGGCCTCAGGTAACTCCTTGCACACATTCCAAGGTGTTCCCTCAACCTCCTCTGTTTGCTCCAGAGATGGTGGTGGTAGGACAGAACTTGTACAAGAAACTTTGACTGCCAATTTTGGGTCAGAACCAGTCTCAGAAACTGAGCTCACTGTAGGGGACAGGGATGTCTGGGGAGTGTTTTCTTTGTTCAGAGATAAATGCCTAGGCTCCCTGTATTCACCTCTCCAGGGGCTTGTCACACCTCCCACTGTAAAAAGCAAAAAGCACATAAACATTATAAACTAAAGACAAAACAAAAGAGGTAAAAGTTTTCCTTCACATGAAGAGTTTCTGAACTGCATCTTGCTGTAAAATACGCAGCATCTTCAAAAGACAAAACCAGACCACCTCTACAAATTCTTGCTGTATTACAGAACCTTACAGCAGGATTAACTTGAAATAAATGATGGATAGTCTTAGAGGCAAGACCAGAGCGCAAGTAGGAGTTACAGTTCAGGATGCAATAAACCCCTGCTTTCAGTTTTGCTTCATACCAGGCTCCAGCTCAGTGGGTGATACTTCAGCTGAACATGAGCCCAGCCACAGCACACACCTTAATAAATCCTCATGGAGCAGAACATTGGCTGCTTCAAGCAGAGAAGCAAGAGCAGGTGACAGCACACAAGGAATTTTGGGTGAGAAACACCGGGCTGTGGGCAAAAGCCATGAACCCCAAAATATCCATCAATGCTGAAGCCTGTGCAAACGATATCCTGAACAGTAAAACACACTGACATTTCCCATAGGGCCACTCTGACATAACTAGCAACTGGTTACTGTACCAGTGTGGATAAGAAGCTTTAGACACAGGACATTTCTACCTTCTTCAAGTGCGACACTGGTTTTTGTTTTCAGTTCAGATGCAGATGCTCTCTGAACAGGCTCTTTCTCCAGACCCATTTTAATAATCTCAGCAGTGAGAGGGTTGCAGGAAGGTGGAATTTCCCTCAGAGGAGGTGGCTCTTTAGCTATCTGTGTAACAAACAGGAAGTGAAAGAGGTTAGACCAGAGAAGCTTTGTTTGATTTCAGAAAGGTTCTTCCCACCCTGAAAGCATTTCCTACTGAAATGACAGCATTAAACAAGAGATCTGAGCAGTAAATTTATTACAGGTGAACGGCTAAAAAGCCAACTCAAGTCATGAGCAGGATATGAATGAAACAGCCCTAGCATGTGTAATACCCAGCAGTCAAAGAAGCGTAAGAAATTATCAGCTTCCAAAACAAGGTTGGCATCATTTAGATGCCCAGCTGGCTCTCAGCCAGCCTCCCTGAAAAAACAGCTCTCTACCTACGTATCATGAGGCTCTGCAAGCATATGTACCTGTTACTGAAGATATCTTGGGTCACTTACCTTTAGACAGAGTGGGTGATTATAATACTGGGTCCAAGGGTGGCACCCATTAAGCATATGCAGCATCATACAGCAACTGCTCCAGACATCCACTTTGGAGTCACACCGCTTTCCCATGACCACCTCTGGAGCCATATGAGTCTCTGTGCCAGGCACATAGTTCCCTAAAACAATTCAAATGAAAACTCACTGCATGGAAACTAGAGAATTGTTCTAATGCAACTGCTGGGAAGCCTAAGGCAGCTTCCTTGTCTTTCCAGTTAAAGTGAGAAATAAGTCATCTTAACCCTAAAAGAAGTGCTGTGTGCTCTTATAAGCTTATAGGCTACATTTCCATATCAGTCCCATCCCTTACACACAGAATAGGTATTAATTTCCCCTTCCAAGCCAATCTGTGAGGGGAAACATGATGCTTTACTGGTGTAAGAAAACATCCTTCTCTTTCAAGGGCTGCATTAAGCAGCACTGTAAAGCTTAACTGCCTGAAAATCAGCGAGGAATTTTGCTTTAGGATCCTTCCCCAGCTGTTCAAGGAGGTTACATCACATCACAAGTCAGAGTTAGATTTTTAAATTTCGGTGTGGCCTCTTGAAGTGACAGAACACAGCACACATTATGCTGACAAAATCCCACAACAGATTTCTAGACTGGCAGATAAGAACCATCTTCCAACCTTGAAGTTCATTTTAGCTGTCAGTGGGATACATCACAGTAAGATCAAGGAATGTGACACTATCAGCAACATTAAGTCTGGAAAATACAGCTGCTTGCAAATTAGCCAAATGTAAATGTTCAAAGAAGAAAAAATGAGTCAGCAGAGCAATTCTTTACAATCACAGCAGAAAATCCTTACCTGTGACCAAGCACTTCCCCAGGCCATCTGGATGGAGGTGAGCGGAGTGGCCAAAGTCGCACAGAAGAGCCCTGCTTCCATCATCAGACAAGAGCACGTTTTCCGCTGGCAATGAGAAGCTTTGAATTAGTCTCCTTTGTATTATGGTCACTGAGATGGAAAAAAAGCACAAAAGCCCACAGAAGTACAGGGTTTTTGAGCCTTAACCAAGGTCTGTTACTCCTATGAAGCACCAGTGGCTTAAGCAAGTACACAACTATAATTATCTGCCCTGGAAATTCTTCTACCCAGTGGTGGGCAGCCTGGGCAAACAGCCTGTCAGGCCCACTGGATGACAGAAAGAGGTGACAAATATGGTATGTTCAGCTGTTTAGAACCAAGTTAAGCTCTGACCTCAAACGTAGAGCTGAAAATCTGCTAAATAACTAGCCACTCAGGATTTTAACCTCTAAGCAGTTTGCCTCTATCAAGAAATAGGGAAGAACAGGGTACCTTAAGTACAAGCCTACCTTTTACATCTCCATGGAGAATGTTTTGAGCATGAAGATACTCCAAGCCTTCTAATGCCTGGCCCAAATAACTGAGGGCTCTGTCCTCTGGCAGACAGCCACTCTGTTTAATTAGCTGACCTAGTGAGCCACCTAGAAAGGAATCCAGAGAGTCCATGTTAGCCTATCTTTAAATTCTTCCCAGCATCATCAGCACTCCTCATGGTTTCTGATGAAGAAACAAGAACTGTCAGGTCTGACAGCCCTTATCTTCTACACTTGGGCCTGCTCCTTTTAGTTATTCCCGGAGTTCTTACTGCCCACAGAAACTAGCCTCTTCCATGGAGCCTTTTGCTTAGCGTCAGTTTAAAGGTGTTGCTTTGTATCAAAAGCAACTACTCTGTGAGCAGATCAGACATTTCTAGGTGCCTCTGATCACCAGTCAGCTCTTCACAGGCTCTATTTTCCTTACGGTCCTCACTAGAAAAACAGGATCAGGCAACAGCAGCACCGAGGTTTGCTTACACAGAATCCCCTTTTCCAGTACAATGTGCTTTATATGGGGCCACGCAAATAAACATGAATGCAAGAACCAGCACCTGCGATGTGTTTTAGTGAGAACTTGCAGCTGCTGGTCAAGAGATGCACATCTTGTACTGCAGTGAGGCAGGACTGGGAATTTTTCTCCCTCCAGAAAGACCATTGCCACATACCAGCAAGGATTATACAATACCTATCCCAACCCATTCAGGAATGAACACTAGAGATACTCTGGATACATCAAAGAATTAACAGATTTAAAACTGGGGCAGGAGGGAGATCAGTGTCTGCTGCATTCAGTGGTTACAGTGGAACTTCCACTGTGGTTGCTCCTTTCTCACCCTCCATCAGCTTCATGAAGATGGTCACCCACGGTCCTTCCTTCACAGCTCCGTACAAGGGGACAACTTTAGGACTTGTTACTGCAGCACATGTTGTTAGCTCCTCTGCACGGAAGTGTTCAACTTGTACCTACAAAAACAAAGAAGCAGCACTGAACAGATTTTGTGTTGAATCCCAACTGAGCTGTTCCCCAGATGCTCGGGTCAGAGTGTCCTGCACTGTCCAAGAGCAGAGGTAGAAGGATGACCTTCATTAACAGAAATCAGTGGCTACAACAATATGTGGGAACACTCAGAATGATTCTGAACAAGGATGATGCGAGTCCCTAAATCCTCAGCATCTGAGTGAAGATTTGTCAGAAAAGATGACAGGTTGCAATACCTCCAGCTTGTAGCTGGTAACTTCAGAAGGTAATTTCTGTCTCAGTTCAAAAGATAATGCTGACAACTGGAGCACTCTGCTTTCATGAAAGAGGAAAAAAAATTAAGGATAGTGCAATACTTGGCAAATATAAACCTCCCCCAAACCAGGAGGGAGTCTGAAATATGGCCACAAGCAGGGATCCACACTATCACCTTTTCAGCCTGCACAGAAAAATGGTTAAAGAAAAACTCTATTCACTGAGTTTACCCAAACAAAATAAATCAAGAATTTGCTAAAGCCCAGAAGGAAAACATGAGCCTGTTCCCAACAGAACTATGATTCTGTTGGGAAAAGGATGGATCACATTTCCTCACTGTCAGCAATCCAGCTCTAGCTAGTCTTCTTTAATCTCAAGAATTTGGAGAGCTGGTGCTTACAATACCAAGAATGGTGAAAGAAGGTCAGGAAGTCCCCTTCTAACACAGGCAGACAGTAGGAACTGAAGATAGTTGCTCCATTAAAATAAAACCACTCCTCATTACTGAAAATACAGCTATTTCTCCTAAGAATGTATTTGGAAAAATACATAAGAAATGTAAGTAGTTACATCCTGTCAGAAAACAAGCTGGTCATGTTGCCACAAAATCCCACATCTAAAACATGAGGATGCAGAATACAAAATAAATACGTATGCTTTAAATGTGTTTGCTTCTATACAGCTGGCAAACTAAATGGTTAAAATACTGGACAAGCTGGCTTAGTCTTGCCACTTCTACCTTTCCACATGCAATGCAGCAAGCTGAGCCCAAATGCAAGCAAGAAAAAGCAAACATTTTAAACTGAAAAACTCAAGTCCCGATTCTTTTTGCATTTAACATTTTTGTACTCAAGACAAACGCTTCCCACACACCTCTTGAAGTTTTCTATTGGGGTAATGTGAGAACCATCAGGTCACAGAGGTGGTGAAACTATTCAAGTGTTAAGTTCAAACCGAGTAGTTTACTTTCTCATCATCTACTTGCATAATCACTCTGCCTTCACCTCCGAGGCACTCCATGGATGCCTACAAACCAATACCCTGACTCCAGTTATGTTCTATATGCTTCATACATGGTAGGACAATTGCATATCTTGGTGCACAATAGATTACTAAGCCAACTTTTGGATAAAAACACATCTGCTGCTGCATCTAGAACAGAATCACCTCATTATAATGTGCAGTACTGCATATGACACTTACTGAACAGATGAAAGCTCTCTCCAATTTAAGTGCCTACCAACTGCCTTACTTTGTCCTACTTTATTCCTTTTTCAACAAAGAAGCACCTGCCATGTCACCATTTATACTAGACACGTTTTTAGATGGGAACAGTTAGATAAGCAAACAGCTCCCACAGCTGATTGTCCCCCACAGCCACTAGGAACACACTTCCAATTTTTCTGAAAGCTGGACTCTCTTGGCATGTCTCGGCACACAACCCCATTATCTTCTGCAGCATACTTTGAAGGCCAAATGAACCATTTCTGGCTGCCGAGCTTGACCCCCACCCTGTGCACATACAAGTTCTCCAACTGCTGCGTCTCTCCACGCCATCAGTTTTAACTTGGACAGAACCACAGCAGCATTTCACAGTGACTGTATAATAAACTACCTTCAGTCTATGGCAGCTGGAAGAAGATGTTTTCTCCATAAGCCTTCTTGTGTCAGGACCCCCCCCTGCTTTCTCACACATAATTACCTTTTTGGCAGCACACTGAAAGCCTGTCTGTTTGTCCTCTATTTTATACACTTCTCCAAAAGAGCCAATGCCCAAAGAACCATGACATTTGGTCCAATGAACCTCTTCTCGGTACTCATAATCCACTGGCTTTAGTCTCTGGAAATCAGAAATCGAGATGATTTAGTTTCTGAAAAATCAGAAAACAAGATGAAGCAAGGAAAGGAACAGTTCAATCCTGATGCTCCACAAAGACCAACATTCTCAGGAAAAGATACCACTGCACCTCTCAAAAAATCCCTGTCAAAATTACTTCTGTCACAGGTTTGAGATGAGATAGGAGAACCTATTTGATTTCTGTCTGATTTAAATGAGTCTACACCATTGCTGTAAAGAAAGCCCACAGTATCTGGACACCTTTGGAGGGCCAAACTATTCCCACATGAAGGACAGACTACAAAGCTAAATCCAATGAACAAAACAAGATTGACTAAACGTAGACATCTATGTGTGAGCTAAACCTTTTTTATAGCCAGTAGACTGGGATCATGCCTTAGGTCTCAGTGTGAGTGATACCCTGAACTTCACTGACAATACTGACAGGGTCACACTGATTCCAAAGAGACCTCTATGAGGAGTTGAAGGTGGCAAGACAGAACTGAATTCAGAAGAAATAAATCATGCCTCTAAGGTTTACATGCATTTGATAGGCCCAAGCCCTGTGCTTGGCAAGGGACAATAGGTGAGTTGCTGGCTTCCTGCCACAGGTGGCAGACATGCTTTTTGCACCTTCACAATCTCCATGTCCCTGGTTTCTGTCTGTGTGACAGTCCAGGTCACCTATAGTCAATGAAATATTGCAGCCTGTTCACCTGAATAGATCAGGTTCTTTCACAGAGAAAACAGAGAAACAGAGAAGACCTCTCTGAAGACTGACTAAGCACAGAAACACTTCCATAGACAAGCATGAGTATTTTGTGAATGAGCAAACAAATTAGGGCCACTAGTCTAAGACAGGGCTTTATATCCTTCAAAAACCAGAAGCACATCTTTAACTGGCAGTCTTCCACCATCTCAAGAACCATTCAGAAAACTCAGTATTGTTACAGAAGCTAGCACATGGACGCAGACTCTCTCCCTTCTGAAGCCCAGGAGAAGCTCTGCCTTCCACCACACTAGTGTGTAGGGTCAGAAGATCACCTCAGTAAGTAGCACGCCTTCATTTTCATCTGCTTCATGAAATTGTCCCTTCAGGTCCAGACCACCTCCTCTCCACGTCTTGGCTAGGCTGGCTAAATTCTGTGGTTCACCAAGACTCACACTCCCCTTCAAGGCATCCACCAAGTATTCCTCCACAGAAATCTTGTCTGAGCTGGTTTTCATGGATTGGTTGATGCATTTAGAGAAACTATATTCTAAGTTTAGGCCAGGTAGTTGATGCTCATCATCTTGATAGTTGAGATCACCATGAAAGTATGTCTCCAGAGCATTATATTTCATGGCATGGAGAGAACTGTACAGATGTGGGAAGTGAGGGGGTATTATGTTGTAGGGAAAAGGATGGAGAGTTTCAGGCTGTGGAACACTGTCCCTCTGATAGTGCCGTTTCCAAACATGATTAAGACACTGAATAGGGCTAATCAACTTGTGCAGTTCTGCTTTGTACTGGCTCCTTGGGGGGTGGAGTTTGCCTGTAGACAGAACTTTCTCAGGTTTCTCAAAAGACAACGGATCATAGAGCATAGAGTCCTTGTTAAATTCTGAAACCCAAAAACTGTTTCTGTAAATAATATTTTGGTGTGATTCATCCTCCTAGAAAATAAAACCAAACAACAGAGCTGAGCAGGAACCTCAATATAACAACCCAAAATTCAGCTAATACCTGCTAGGAATTTGCAGGGGTCTCAACAGCACAAAAGGAAGGGTTAAGGATTCTCACCTGGACAGGAATTGGAGTACAGCTCTCTTGCTCAGGAGTCCTGGGACCTCGCTTGCCAGCAGCCACTGTTTGTATTTTCAGCTTGGATCTTTTCTTGTGACGTTTCCTTCTCGTCTTCCCACGCTGCCTCCCCCTCCAGCAGGTAGGTGCCATCTTTCCCTCCCTTGCATGGGCCACATTGTTAGGGATTTGATCAAGACTGTCTGAGCGGCTACGGGAAACCAAAAGGCATGAAGGTTCTTAGATCTGATGGTGAAAGTACACCTCCAGCTAATAACTCTGACCCACAGAACAAGAACTAGCAATTCTGCCTTCTGAGATTTAAAGAATAGAGAGCTAGAACATCACATTTTGCCTTCTAATATCCCAGTGAGCCACTCCAGAGTGCTGGAGCAGCTTAAGAAAGCTCCAATATGTGCCCCAACAGGGCACAAGCTCTTCCTGAAGAAGTGGCTCACTCCCACAAATGCAAGTTCCAGGCCACCATTTTTCCATCACAACTTCTAGCTTCTCTTCACAACTCTATTTCTGATGCTGTCATTAAACAAAGGTTCTTTTCTCAGTCCCTTTTATTTACCCTCCCCAGAAGCAGTTCCTTTTTCTCAGGACTACTTCTGGCAGCAGCCCAAGTTTCCCACAACTCTCAAAGACAATGGTGTAACCTGGTTCCAAAAGCACAGGGACAGTTCAGTTAAAGACTGAGACTCTTCCCTTGGGTCCTTCAACTTCAAGCCCACAAACCTCAAAAAAAAAAAAATCACTCAGTCACTTCAAAACAAATCTGACCACCCAGAAACAGAGGTAGAAGACTACAAGGGCCAGTAAATCAGCAAGCATTGACAATAAGACACTACAAAGCTTGTGCTTAAACTTATGCTTTCTCCTAACACAAAAAGGTTCTGAGGAAGGTGTTTAGGAAAGATACCCTCTTCCTGAGCCTCAGAGAGAAAAGCTCATTCAAACAGAAGTGCTTTTGGAAAGACATACTGTAAGCACACATTGCTGGCATGATTTGAAACCAGTCAGCGAACACAGCAGTAAAGGTGGGTATTCATGTTAAGAGGTCTCTCACCTGTAACGCTTACTATGAGCAATAAAGGATCTCTCTGATAAAGTGGGGCTGAACTCCTGACTGTTTTCACCTGTGTGAAAGAAAACAGGATCATCACGTCTCCAATGCCAAGCAAAGTCTCCTAGTAACAACTGCACTAAGAAACAATCCTACCAACTTGCTAAAACAGTGCTCCAGACAAATCACCACACAGTCGTGCCACACCATCAACACTACATCCTTCCTCCCCCAGCACTGTTTAGCTTCCCAGCACTGTGATCTCCTGATCCTTCAACTCTTTCCCACCTGACAGCTTTGTTTTTCTTCTCTTCCCCCCCCCCCCCTTTTTTAAAACACCTCTCAGAAGTCAGCCAAGGACAGATGACCCAGCAGGACACTGATGTTTACTCAAAGCACCTTGGTGCAGTGGCCTCATGCTGTTCTGTTATTTATGTTTTATTCAGTGGACGCTGTCACATTATTAGGAGATTTCACGAGCTTCCTAGAGACTGGGATGTGTCACCTACTCCACCCTACTTGGGATTACAAATAGACTTCATCTCAGCTCTCCAGGACTGCAAAGCGAGTGAAATCTCATACTGCATTACACATTCCTTTTCCTCAATGAAGAGCAGACTGCCCTCCTACTTACATTCTGCTTGGGCAATAATAGAAATTGATGCACATCCTCCTCCTGTTTCTTCTTTTGCTGTTCCTTTGGTGATTACATCATTCAGGATTTTCCACTGACTGTGGAAGATGACCTTCTTGGACTCTTCTACTTTGTAGACACTGCTCTGCTTTTCACTCACTGTCTCATTCAGCCCCTTGGTAGCCGTGAGCTCCTTCTTGTGCTTGATGGCTGGATCAGGAGCTCCCTGGCACGTAATTCCCATCACTGCCATTTCCCAGGTTCAGAGAGTCACTGAGGCAGAACAGAAAAAACAGAAAAACACTTGTCAAAGACACTTCACAGGCAGAAGCAGCTTCAAGTTCACATGAAGCAGGAGGCTGCTGAAGGTATCAGATCACTAAGTAAGTTAAACCAAATCAAGGACCTACCCAACCTCTGAGCATGGTGCTGAGAAAGAACCCAAGACTGCCAGCTCCCCATCCCCAACTGCATCACTGGAGAGCTGAATAATCAACATTATTCTCAGTACCAAAAATGAGACCACACAGGTTTCAAAGGAAAATTTATTTCTTGGTATATTCTCTTAGTTAAATACAAACAGTGAAACCACAGGAAAGAGGGAACCCCTGTATCACTGACCAGGAAGAATATTCCCACCAAAAATAAAGAAAAAAAAGACATGAAAGATTTTCTCCTAGAGTGCACCCAGAAGTTACATTGTGCTCTCACATCACACAAAATGGCCATCAAATCCTGTTCACTGCTTTCTTCCTTGTACTTAGTCACCCTCAAATCCTTTTCTCGGTTTTCCTTCCAATGAAACCAGGCTAGACAAGCAGCCTGCCATACAGAGCTCCTCCCTCCCTTCGCTTCCTTCCCCTTAATCACCAATAGCTTTTGAAATCCTTGGTCAAGCCCAACAAAAGCAGAGCTCTTATAGTGCACAGGATTAATGCAAGTTGGTGCTGGCTGGAGGACAGGGCTGGTGCTGGAAAAGAGGATCCCTCTGCCTGGCAGCAGCTGGCGAGTCAGTCAGCACGAGCTGCTGACCATAGAGCTGAGATGTAGCTCCAAACAAGTCCCTGCACACGCCAAATCTTGGCCAACTGGCACCACAGAGGAAGGTGGAAGGCAGCCAGGAATGGAAAAAGAAAAGCATAAAGAAGCATGGAAGTAAGATACTGCGGGATACTGTGGGTGAAATGCAAGAACATGGAGAGTTCAGAGTTCCCTACAACCACACTGAACACGAGCCCATGGGACGTATGACTTCAGTTTAGCCCCTGAGCTCTTCACCTCTGACTCTAGACAAGTTAAACCCATTGTTGTCTTTTAAACCAGAATATGCTCGGTTGGCCGTTACCTGCAGAGGTCACTTCACTGAGCCAGTGCTCCCACAGCTCAGGTGCAAGATCTCACAATGCACATTTCCACCATTAAACGCCCATGAAAACTCAGCAAGCTCAGTAAACACGTACAGGTGTTAAGCACCACAAGCACAGTGTAAGACAAGGCGCAGGGACATTTGAACTGAGGCCAGCAAAGCCAAGATCTCGTATCTATTACAGGAGCACATCTTTGACGCTCATCAGTTTAAATCTGCACCAGGGATTTTCCTCTTCCTTTTTTCCCCTCTGCTTTGAACAGCTGCCTGGGGCAACAGGATACTGCCTCCAACAGGCTCCTGGCAACAGACAGATCAGTCAGGAAAATGACTAAACCAGTGGGTGCTCCATAAAGGACCCCCAAGAAAAGGGGAAGGGTGCTGTTTGAGAGCCAAGTGCCTGAACCTTGGTGTGATGTATAAATGAGTCACCTAACAACCTGGCAGGTAGACAAGGAAAGTCAACAACGACCACATTCATTCTCCACAGAGAACAGCTGCTGTGCAAAAGAAGTGCTGATGACAGTATCCCACTCATTACACCCGTCCCACTCCCTCTCCTCTACAGAAATTATGTCAAAACTCAGTGCTGTAAAATAATCCCTTGGAGCAGCAGAAAGAGAGCCTGCCAGATGACTAACCCGAGCCACCAGTGACAAAACTGACAAGTTGAGAGCTATTTTTATACTCACTCTCTCCTGATTTGCATTAACTCTGTCTCTCCTTGCCCTCCCTTCCCCTTCAAGGACCTTCAAGGTCTGCAGCACAAATCCATCCCCATCACCAAAGAATACGTAATTTAACTAAGCTGAGGAGTGACCGGTAGAAAGACAACAGAGGGAGAAGGGAAGAAGCAAAACTCTGTGTCCTTGATCACCCTCTGAAATGGAAAAGAGTAACAAGGAAACATTACTGAGATTAAAGTCAACAAAGCACATACCTCACTTGCTGACTGAAATAAAAATAAGAGGTAGCTATTGTAAGCAACGTCCTCTAACAGAGCAGCCACCAGCACTCAGACAGTTTAGTATGACTCAGGTATACAAGGCTGTGTAGGCACAGAAGCTGGAAAGCCCAGCCCAGTTTAACTGTTGTTGCACAATTTTCAGGTCCTTAGAAGAATCAAAACCCCAGCTGTTTTTATGGCACACATAACAAAGCATAGCTGGCAGATTAAAAGCAATGATCAGAACCTTGTGATCAGTTTGGAAGCCTCACTTCCCTTGAAGCTATGTATTCAGAACTGACCAGGGCAGACTCAGCGCAATGCACTTGGAGGGGTGGCACAAAAGCATTTGTAAGCCCCATTAATTTGGATGCAGGCACTTGGTCTCTCAGGCCCAGGCCCTGTGTTCAGCCCTTCTCAGGGAAGTTCTAGATGAAAGGAAGCCTTAGGAGCAGTGAATGGGTACCTGATGCTCCACAGCAAGACCGCTAAGGACAGGATTTACCCACATAAGACACGTTGGAGCTGCGGTTCCAGCTGCCTATTTACTTGTCACCGCTCCAGGATGAGCACAGCTTCCTGTACAGACACAAGTTATGTAAGTGCAATATAGCTTCAAGTTCTTGAGTTGAAGGGTGGTTGTTTCATACCCCAAACTGCTTCTCTGGTTTTCAAAACCTTCTGTTCCTCATCCATGTCTCTTAGATCCAACTGTAATTCTTGATTTCAATATCCCTGACTTTCTTCCTTCTGTAGATGTGTGTACGGGTTTATTACTTTCAAGGAGAAAAGGGGAAGATGGGTAATGATGCAGTAGATAAAAGTGAATACCACACACCCAACCCACAATGGGTCTTTGCTAGCAACAGCAAAGACTACTTGCTCCTTATCTTCACAAAGGTTTGACACTCACCTCTGGTTAACTGATGTCAGACCGCACTGTTGTAAAAAAAAAAAGTGAGTTTTTACAGAATGAAAGCCAAGCACCTTATTAGCTGTCTGTGGAGTCAGGGGCAACTCCTCCCTCAAACAATGCCTGTGAGACGCTAACCTACTGGATAAAATGATCTGAGACTTGTAGGGAGTCAGAATTCAGAAAACATTCAAACATTATTAATGAAGAGATAACCATGTGCTTTCTGCTCCTTTAAAGCCTCCTCCTCCCTCCCTTCTCTAAACAAGTCCCTCTTTACCCTCTTGAGCTCTTCCGTTTCAACTGGAAGCTATTTGCGTAGCAGGGACCTTAAAAGAACATTCCTTTTGTTTCATGAAGTTACTATGCATATAGAAAGAAAGACTCGTAGCTGGAAAAAGGGAATGAAAATACCTTTCCAGCACTAAACCACCCTGCAGTACACATTCATAAGGCATCCTGCCTGGTCTGCATGGCTCAAATCTCCTTTGCCAATGTCTTTTTGGAGAATTTCAGTCAATGTTGCGTGGAGTAGCCCATAAATTTGGTTAAAAAATACTTGGGAAAGAGCTTTAAAATACAAATAAGACTTCCAAAGTCAGCTAATGAAGCACGCCAAGTTCTTCTCTTGGTCTAAGTGTGAGTGTTCAGCAGCAGTTTCACATTGACATTTAGTTTGAAGACAAAAAAAAGTCATGTTGTCTCAGTGAGGTTTCCCACTTCCTTACTGAGCAGAGTTTGATGAACAATACATTAACTTAGGCAGCCTCCTCTTCTGCAGCTGCTACTGCTTTATTAAAACAACACAAGTAGCATTTCAGCAATGTTGCTTTGCTGAGCACTACAACAAAGCAACAGCTGGGAAGAGCCAGGAATTTAGGCATCACTGAACAGGGAATGTCAGCTGACAAGAAGAACATACACCTTTTGGGGACCACCCAGTCCTAACAACTGTCAGGAAGGATTCAAAAAAGTGCCTGGTCTGCAGCCAAAAGAACCTATCCGGAGTACGAGCTACAAAACCACCACACAAGGACATCCCAGCTTGGCAAAACACACCTTTCACCACAAAAAGACACTTGTTAAAAAATAAACTAAAGACCTGGTTTGGGGTCCAAGGAGCAGATGTATGTGTAGACCCCCTTCAGCCCCCAAGCACCACTTCTCCTTGTCCCTGCCTCTTCACTGCTGCCCTGCTCTGCTCCATGCTATCGATGAGCTCTCCTGCCTGCCCACATTGCAGATGGAACTGGAATGAAGCTGATTCTGTTTTCAGCCATGTCTGTTTACGGCATATTATTGAGCATGGGCCTGGGGTGGTTATTTGAACACACTGGATGCTGTTAGCAAGGAGAACTTTAAGTTTGTGTCAGAAGGGACTAATAAAAACCAGTTGTAGCACTCAACACACCCCTTCACCTTAAACCACTGAATGCCATTTGAAGTTAATATGCTTAAGAGAGGAAAAAAAAAAAAAGAGACTTCCCTTGAGCATCTAAGAGTTCCAAAGTAAAAATAAATAGAATGCCTGACTGATTAAAATACTGGTGAGTCAGACCACCAGTTGCTATTCCAGGATGCTCACAGCCTTCACCTCCTTCTCTTTAACCAGTTTTAGCCACTTGTCTGTGCAAGAGGCTCCTGTATAGTCCTGTTGGGATCCTCTCAGTCTCTGGTGTGCTGTCAAGTGCTGCTGCACAGAGGTTTACCTGAAGATCACCAGGTAAAGCGAAACCTTCTACCTAAATCACCACAGAACTGCCTGCTTGAAGGATTTCACTATCAGCCTTCTGTTCATGAGTTATGTTACAAGAAACAGCAAGTATGTAAACACAGTCTTTAAAGTGGTTTGATAGTAAATACTTCTTAATCCTGTTTGGGCCATTTGTATTGCTTACTATAAACACCAGGATAATGAGCTGTCTCTTTAGCTGCCAGACATCAGTATATTGCAGTGGTTTAGTTACAAACCATGGAAGAAAATATTTCACTGGGTTTAACCATCAGCAGAATTTCTGAAAGTATCTAAACACACCTTTCCATGTCCTCAAGTAGGAGCTGGAGAACAACTCGCCCTGGAACAATTCTTTTCATGTTGTTGAACAAAGATGGGAATAACACCATTTGCCCAGAGTTCATAAACACCAATGAAACCCTGTTCATGAAAAGAAGTGGCTAATTTTTTCCTAACTGCTTTGTAAACAAGGATAACAGAAAAAGCATCAGAACAAACTTCACCTGGATGAGGCTCTGCTCTCCAGCCCAGCTTAGATGATCATACACAGATCTCAGGATATCCTAAGTTTTAAGACCTACTTGTAGAATGAAGCTCTTTCCTAAATATGAGCCTGCCCTATGGAGC